TGCTCTTACCAAAGAAGGAGAGCAACCCCTTGTATCAGGAAAGAGAGAGAGCACAGCATCCTTCAGCCAAATTTCCTGATTAAGTCAATTAGATATTAGAGAATGCATCAACCTATAAGATAAACAAGAACTTCAAAGAATTTGAAGGGGACATGTGGAAGTGGACACAGTCCAACTAGCAACTCAATCATAACCATTATCAAGTGCACAACCCTTGCCAAATTACCAGTCTTGAAAAACATAAAATAAGGAACGAAGCAATGAATTGAGAACATGAAATATCAAGATCCAAGGCTTGAATTTGTACACATTCCACAGGCTTTAAGTTCATGCTTTCTACAAAAGCAAGAATCAAGCTGTTTTATAACTCAGTGTGTCAAAGGTTTGCGAGCTCTAGGCACTTACATCACACCCAGGTTCAAAAAAGGTGTATAATTGAGTGGAGGCACTGATTTCTAAAAGAAAATTCCTTACATCATAAAGAAATCCAAGTATTATCATGTCTAATAAGCTTCAAATATATGATTTTGATGAAAAACTACTAGAGTTTGCACTGTGACGGCACCTAATGTGTTCCAAAGACACAATATTTTAGATAATGTCATTAAACAACATTCCAAGTTTTATTGACTTCCATTCAATCTTCAACAAGTCGCGCAATGGTTAAAACATTAATTTTTTATTTACATAAATAGACCAGAAAATGTACCGTTTTCCCATTGAAGCAATAGCTAACAAAAGATGAGAAAAACTTGAGAAACCAAAAGACACTAAACTCAGACACACTTTTTCAGCCTTTAGCCTAGGGGGAAAATGTCCCTATGCACAAAAGGCATCCATCTTAGTAAACGCGTCTTGCCTGTAGGATGTAGGAGGTTTCCTTGATTGACACTGCACCTTACCGCCTAGGCATGTGCCTTGACAACATTTTTCTACCCCATGGTGTCAGCTACAAGGAACATTGTTTTCTATTAAGAACCTTAGTTCGAGTAATATCATTATGCTCTAGAGTGAAAGTTTTCTTCTATCTCTCCTTTGGCATATCCTTCCTCCTGGAATGAACATTCTCTATTAAATCATATACTCCAAACTATGTTACTCTGACTCAGGTGTGAGTTTCAGATATGAGTATGTACCAGACAAGGGTATTTTTAGTGTTTTCCAAGTTTTTCCATGTATTTGGAGGAATTTGTCCGGCACAAGTACTTCAAGAAAATAAAGCATCCAAGCAACAAAGAATCTGATAGAAGCATTTATGGACAACTGTCCCACATAGCCAAACCACCATAAATATGTCTCATTTTATGCTTACTACTATTTCCATCTTTTCCTGAATGCCTGTGTGCATTCCTAACCCAATATTTTCTTATGAGCTCAAATAACTTTGCAGCATTCTCGTTTTAACAAGTTTCAACTTTGCTTGACCACCCAAAATCCTATAGCACTAAGGCCTAAGAAATCGTGATGTTATTGCTATCAAGCTAAGAATGCCGTAAACTTATGGGGTATTTGCTGAATTGCTGTCACACAAGTCAAGCTCCAGTAAAATTTATTTATTTCATCAATCATGCTAGGATCCTATGCTTTCATGATTGAGCCAAGATACTAAAATCACATTGCAGTGTATCTTTTTCTCCAATTTTACACTTGCTTCATTGCCAGTCCTTTACGGAGTTTTCAAATCACAATTGATAGACAATCCACAGTCAAAAGAGTAAATTAAACATATTTGACCTCCTAACAGTAAAACTTTCCGCTCATTGCAATCTTAGATGCATGTTTAGAAGCAGGAAATGGTTTAAGACTTACCAATGATGAATTTTTCCTAGAACTGCCTAGGGACTCCTTCCCTGTAATAGAATTTTGGGCTGCACGATTTGAAGTTGATTCAAGCTGTTGAAGCTTTTCAATAACCTCAGCCTCATCCCCCTAGTAACCAAGAAATGAGCAATTATAAAGCATTTCAATGAAAAAAAATGCTCCAGCTTCCAGAGAAACAAAACCTTCAACTTCTACGATTTTAATACCTGTCCAAGAAGGAACAAACAGAAAGCCTCCTCAAGCTTCAGATCAGCCCCCTCAGATGTTATCAAACAGTCACATATATTTTTTGCTTTGGTAATCTACAGAAATGTAATAAAAAGTGACAATAATAACAAAGAATTGAAAGAAAATAGTTTCCCCACCCAACAACTCCAATGCAGAACCCCCAAAATATTATTCACAGACCAACCGGCATAGAGATTACCAAGTCAGTTTGCCTGCTTGAAAATCCAAGAGCAATATGTGCAATCAATGCCATGTAGAAACAGGTAAAATCAATTACAAGCCTTTGATTATGTGATTCAATTGATTTCTTATTCTTCCTTGACATTGCTAAATTATCCCAGGGAAGAATATCAACTACTTCTGAGGCCAACAGCAGATTAAGAGCTTGGCTTAAGAAGCTTGACCATCTTGGACCTGGCAAGTTGCTTCCACATCAAGCCCCTGTCTGAGCAGTTCACACAGGGCAGCAATCGCTCCTTGTCGCCTGTTTTCATTTTCAGGTGATCGAGGCAAGCCTAATAATTCCAATGCGCATGCAGGTGCAAGTTCCTCCAAAGATTCTTCTATCTAAGAACCACGAAAATAATTAAGGTAAATAGAAGGCTGTTACCTTCAGAAATAAGGGTTGCACATAATTACTTGTTTGCAACTATCCTCCGACATTGTTGCAGTCATCACCATGCAAAATATATTAAGCTCTTAACCATCAGATCAATTCATTAGAAGTTCGATATTGTTTTGATTATTTTTACCTTTTTTGGGGGTTACAAACAGTATACTATTAATCAAGAAACGAAGAGGAAGCCTATTACTGACTGAAGCAAAGCATGTTGTAGAAATCCTTGAATAAAATGGAGGCAAAAGCATAAAATAGCAACAACAATTACCTGAGATAACAACATCATTTGTTTAAGAGATTTTGTACTCCTGAGAAGAGACTGAGCACGAGCAAGGGCTTCAAATCCTTCAGAGACCTTGTTCTTTTCAAAACCAGTCTTTGCGATAGAACACTTCAAGAAAGCACCTATTATAAGAAAAGTGGGCATAGCAAAGTTGATGTTAAAGCTGGTAAAAGATGCTAAGCTCTTCACCTATTTGCCTCACCTCAGCCAGTGCCATTGATAAAAGTAAATCATGAATATATGGTTTTGCATCTGGGCGCTGAATAGCTGCCCTCACAATTTGAAGGACAAGCTCCTCTTCTCCAACCTGATTCACAAGGAACCTATCATATCAGTTCTATCTTTCCAAGATAAAAACCTTCATTTTTTTAAGGCTTTCTTTGGTGGATGGTTTTCCTACTTACTGTTTGCTTACAATATAACTCCAATTCAAACATGACGAATAGCCATGGACACTGTTTTCTTAATTTTAAAAAATGCTAGCACTTGCTTCTAAATTCAAACATTAAGAAGCTTTTAGCTTCAAATGGGAAACGAACATTATTTCCCTAAATGTTTAACAATATCTTCTTATTATAATAAACTACAAATTAGGGGGTGGATCAGTGGAGAATTGCACCTCTTGAAGAAGGCAAGCAGCAGCAGGCAACCAACGCCATGGAATTCGAAGAGATAATTTCGGGGGAATCTTCTCTTTCACATTTCCGGCGTAATCCGTTTCGAAAAGCAGCTTATCCCTTACATCCATCAAAACTTCCTGCAATGAAGAGGGAAAGAAGGAAATAGGTTTTTTTTTTAAATCCAAAAAAAGGTACAAAAAACGACCTCTTCGATCACCTGTCGAGAAACAACAACATCACTAGTGTAACCATCATCAACCTCGGTACCCTTCAAATTCATCACCGACTTCACAATCTCATCTTTCTCGGCTTGACTCGAAACGCCGATCAGCTGGTAACAACTAACCGGGATATCAACAACGGCGTTTCCTGCGACGGTTGATCCACGCGAGGCAGAAGGAGAAGACGATGAAACCGGTGCGTTGTTCTCGACAATGCCGGCGACGCCGCGGCGAGTGCCGATTGCACCGGATTGCCAGCGGTTCCTAACGGAGGCAAAACCGGAGCCATTAGATTTGATTAGGTTTTCAAAGCCTGAAATTTCACAGACAATAGAGCTTCGAGCGAAGGAGGAAGAAGAAGATGGAGTAATTGTTGGAGACAACGTCAAATTGCACAGTGCCATCTCACACTGCAAAAACTAAAAGAAATAAAAACAAAATGAAAAGAGTAATTGTTCTACGTGAATATTAACAAATTTTGTAACGGTATTTTGACTAAGTTTTAATAGAAAAAAATAAAATAAAATATTTTTAATATTTTTATGTTTATATTTTTATTAATTTAAATATTAATCTTTAGAAATAATTAAATAAATTACCATCCCTTGAATAATACAATTTTTCATTCATTTATCTTAATAATATTTTAGTTTTAAAAAAATACCGATCATATAAAAAAAATTAAAAATGTATAAATCCAGTTTATTTTTAAACTATACACTTGCTCTCTATAAGTAGACTTTCCAATACCTATGTAAAATATTGAACAAAGTTTCCTTGAAAAGAACTTGTAACCAACCTTCTGGTTCAAGTAACCATGTAAAAGTAGAACTAGTCTTTAGTTTAATCGGTCAAATTCTACAAATTTCCACACTTGAATCAATGTTTAATCCATCAACTTAATCAAGATCTGCCCTTTATTCAATTATATAAATGCAACACTTGTTTCATCATCTTTGCTGTACTTAATGGAGAGGGATATGAATCTGCAACACTTTAGCCACAAACATCCATTGATCTTCTCCGAGGAGCATGTTGATGGAGGCAAAGAGATCATTCTTTGCTCAGGGTGTGAGAAACCAGTGTTGGGTCCAAGCTATGGTTGTTCTAAATGCGAGTTTCGGCTTCACGAGATATGCGCGAACTTGCCTTTCGAGATAAACCATCCGTTTCATCGCGATCACCCTCTTGTTCTCCTGTCTAATCCCCCTACTCGATATGTCTAGTGTCTCTGTGATTTCTGTGATGAATCTTGCAACGGCTTTGTCTACCATTGCTTGTCTTGCGAGTTCGATATCGACGTCTCGTGTGCTCTGCTTCCACCGTGTGTGATGGGGGAGTTTCTCGAGCTCGAACGTTTCAGCCACCAGCATCAGTTGGTTTTCACTGAAAAGCATGATGAAAGTGTATGTTGCTTCGGATGCAAGGAAGTGATTTCCGGTCCTGGTTACGGTTGCTCTCGGTGCGAGTTCTTCCTTCATAAGAAGTGTTCGATGTTATCCCCCGTGATTAGACACCCTTATCGTCGCGAACACCCTCTTATTCTTTTGACGAATCCCCCACCGTATTATTCGAGCTGCACCTGCAATTTTTGTCACAGAACATGCCAAGGCTTTGTTTATCACTGCCCTACTTTTAAGTTCGATCTCGACATCAAATGTGCTTCGCTTCCTCAATGTTTCGTTGAAGCCGAAAATCATCGACACCGATTCATCCACCTGATGAAGCCACTCTCGTTTATATGCGACTCCTGTGGCATAAAGGGTGACCATTTCCCTTACTTATGTACCCAGTGCCAAGTACTGGTCCATGAAGAATGCAAAATATTACCCAACACCATTGAAATTAGAGATCACTGTCATCCTGTTACACAATTCAGCTTGCTTCAAGGAATTAGCGATTCGTGTAACCATCGTTGTGGTATCTGTCATGATGAAGTGAGTGGAAAGTACGGTGGTTACGGTTGCTTTTGCTGCGATTTCATTGTTCATTCCAATTGTGCAGTAGCAAATTCTGTTTCTGTGATAAAAACCAAAGGGAACGAATTCTTCGACTCGATCAAGCATTTTAGCCATCCACACAATTTAACCCTGAACGCAAAGGTAAATGATGATAAGCTTTGTGACTGCTGCATGAAACCCATTTTGGAACAATTCTACAGTTGTGAAGAATGTGACATTTTCCTCCATGAAACATGCCTTGAATTGCCTAGGAAGAAGCAACACCCTCTTCACCCGCATCCGTTAACCCTTCTAGAAAAGCATCCAAGCTTCGAGGGCTTGTTTTTCTGCGATGGCTGTCATCAACGATGCCATGGCTTCACCTACAGCAGCAAGCAGTGCGATTTCAACCTTGATGTTCGATGCGGTTCATTGTCAAACATCCTTAAACACAAATCACATGAGCATCCCCTTATTTTTAGCAAGGGAAGCAAATGCAGTGCTTGTGGTTACGGTAATGAGGTCTTATACTCCTGCTCCGATTGCAACTTTGCATTGGACTTCGGCTGTGCTTTGTTACCGAATACAGCAAGGCATAAGCACCATGGGCATCCTCTCGATCTCACTTACCAACACGATGCAGATCAGATATACTGCATATGCGAAGAAGAAATCAACCCGAAGTGCTGGTTCTACTGCTGCAAACCGTGCAACTTTTATGCTCACACGAAATGCACTTTGGGGCAATATCCATACATCAAGTTAGGAAAAACATACCCATACGAAGCTCATCCACATCCGGTTGCCTTTGTACACAAAACAAAAGGTCAACCTCCACGCAGTAAAAGTGGTAACCCTAGCAAAGGTCTTGCCCTTGAATGTACTAAGCATCACTGTAATTTCATCATTGAATGGTGTCATGTGGAAATTCTCCATTTCTAAGATCCTTGTAAGTAATGAACCTCAGATTATACCATGAAACCTATACAATTTGATTTGAACAATCAAAGCCACTAAAAATCATCATATTTCATAGTCTCCTTGAATTTCTTGAAGCACCTTATCCAAATATATATGAGAAACTACTCAAAATATAACATTATATATATATATATGTATTATACAAAAAGAACAAGGACATTGGTCTGGTTTCTAAGCCAGCTAGTATAAAAACATTTAGTGTCGCACATAAACTATAAAGGCAAAACACTAGGAAAATTCTAAGTGGAGCAAAGGAAGTTGGGTTCTCCAAAAGAATCATGTTAACCTACAAATTCACAGGGGAGGGTAGAAATATGAGGAGAGGGAAAAGCCAAGGAACAGTAAGCCTCCGACTGTGGCGACAGTGCGCTGTGAGATTTTGGCCGCTAGCATGCTTCCTCCCACAACGGCCAGTGACGTACAGATGGTATGTCCTATTACGGCTCCTACTGCTACACCCACTGCATTTTTATGTGTTGCTAGCTGCAGAATCATGAATTACTTCACTTAGATGACAGTCTATGATTCTCTTTAGAAATTACAAACATCATTATAACCGCATAGATAAAGATATTATTCCCTTAGTGAAGAAAGCTTGTTTGAATAGAATTAACAGAATTAAAGTTGAAAAAATGGTAAGATAGAAGTTAGAACTATAGAAAAACATAGTCAAAACCTCGAGTTTCTTTGTATTACTTAAGAGAAAATAAAATATGATGTGGCGATAAATCTATTTTACAAATTATTTATTCTAGAGTAACAAATAAAGTTTTAATCCTAGTCCTTGAATAACTAATAATCTTAGCCATCTAAATATATCTAAACCTTAAAGCTCCTGCGTCATTTTCGACTACCATAAGGCACTTTACCCAAGTTTCATGATCAGGGAGATGTCCATGATTTTTATATAGCAACAGAGGTGAATTGAAATTTTTAAGAAGAGGATATGCCAGCTACTGTTCCTTACAAACTTCTTCCCAAGTAAAAGAACCGAAAAATTCGAGCAACCAACTTACAAAGAGACAGATTTGAATCACAGTAATAAATTAAGATCAAGGATAGGGTTTATCTTACAGCAATTGTGGCAATTTGGCTTCGATCCCCCCATTCTGCTAGAAATGTTAGAATAAATGACTACATGGAAAGAGAAAAAGAAGAAGAATTCAGTAATAATAGATGATTTAATCAATGAGTGAAAATAAACTAAATATAAACATTTAAGGCAAGCGGTAATGTGGAAAGAAAACCTCCAAAAATATTGGTGTACAAAATCTGGAGAGGAAGCGTCGATAATATGTTTTCCCTTGGCCAGTCTCAAGTTTCTCTTCCACCTAAACATGTGAGATAATCAAAGAGCAAATTCAATATGAAGGTGATATGAAAGTTGACAACAAAGAAAAACAAAAGATTTTAGATGCCATATGATGCGATCTTTAAATATGGTACAAATCATTGATGCTGGATAGGTTACAATCTAAAGAATATATACATGTGTATATATGACATAAATACATATTATATGCAAGTATGTGCACACATTACACATGGATCCGAAAATTCAAGGTCCTGTTGAAGAAATTGTACACTTCACTGAAAAGGAACATGCACTTTTCTAACCTTTTATAATGTAGAAAACAGAGACAGGAAACAGTTTGGTAAGCCAACTGACTAAATTACAGGTATGACCATTTAGACTGCCCCAAAATTATCTGTCACCTTATACCAGTTCTTTTATGGTGAGAAGCATTTATAGAACCAAATATACTAAAATGGACGTATAAAACAAAATATCAAATTGAGAGTTAGAGAGACACACTTCTTCCATTTCCTTTTTCTGAGATCCCTTTGTATCTGATCTCCAAGCAATGTAAAGTAACCGAAGCCCAAAAAATGCGTAGAGAACTGCATATCAGGAAAAACGGTTATAGCAAAATGACCATAAAATGAAATCATTAGAAGAAATAAATAGGAACATGAAAAGACAGTCATTATATATACCTGTAGCTGCACTATTGTGTGCTTCCTTGATATCAAATTCGGCACAATCCTACCTAGTCCAGTGGAAAGTACCTAATTGTCAAGAAAAAATAAACACTGATAACATTAACTTAGTGAAAATGTCTTTGGCAGTACATGATGGAAAAAGTGTTTCTATGAAACAGAAAGGGAAGGATCCTAAAACATTTAATAGGTCAAGCAAAGTCATAAGAGAGAAAGGAAATTGCTCACGTACTGTCATTACAAAGAGGGCAGCTAGGGCACCAGATAAAACAGTTGACTTTGGGTGCCGCATAGCCATAAGAGCTGCTATTATAAAGTTTCATCTCCAATCTGTCATTGTATCCACAGCATACCAATTCAGCATTTGCTCCAAATGGCATTATTTGTAAAAAATTGTGATGAATGCACATGTTCCTTAGCAAAACACATAACTTCTAACATAAATTTGTAAACACGAGCTGACACACATACAACACACACACACACATAGAGAGGGAGATCTGAATGCACAAACCTCACTGACAATTATCATGGAAAAACTTGCAAAGAATGCATCTAAGATCCCGAGACCAGAATCAAAACCAAGAGCAGTACCCAAGGGATCGTCTAGTACACCATTCTGAACATTCTTCGCAACAATCTGTTCCGCAAAATCAATTCATCACATTATCAGATAATCCGAACACCAACACAAATTACATCTTCAATTACAAGGATGAAGAAGCTACATAGCATAGCAAGAAAACATGAATCTTAAAATGAAGCTAATGATAACACTTTCAGGTTAAATAACTAACTCCCTTTTTCACTACTCAACTCTATTTCCTAACCAGTAGCTCGAAATCAAAACAAAAATGGAATAAAGAGAACCACCTTCCCGACAGCTAATAACTAAACAATTAATGAAAATTCAAAATAAAACTAACTAAACCATGTGAACTCTATAATATCTAAGTTTCTCAACAATCAAACAGATGGGGGAAAAGGAAAACAAAATGCAGACCATGCCCCGGCGGCCCAAATTTTTAATTGACCCACCAGATTCCTCCCTCGCAGCTTGAACTTCTGAATCCTGAGAAATTACACAAATAGAGAAAAACCCATTTCATTATTTACACAAATTTGAAAGAATAAGCTTCAAAAATACAAAGAGAGATATGAATAGTACCTGAGCAAAAGAAATGGAAGATAGAGCGAAGAAGAGAAAGGGAGCGAAGAAGAGGAACCGAATGGAAGTAGAGCCCATTACGAGAAAGACAGGGTTTGTCACAGAGAATCGAGGGATCGTGAGATTTAATCGGAAGAATAAATTTACAAACAAAAACAAAAATTGAATTAATGGAGAGAGATCTTGGAAGTAGGTAATAGATCTGAAGAAAATTTCAATAGGATGGAAGGATTCATTTGTGAATCAATGAGACCGAAGAAATGAAAAGAGACCATGCAAAGTGTGATGAAGATCTTCTCTGCAGTTTTTACATACGAACTGGTTCTTTCACCCTCTCTTCTTTCTCCTTTTCAACTAGAGTTAATTGCATCTAACATTTCAGCAATCATTCTGATGGTCTAACTGTTTCTCCAGTCCCTGTATTTTCGTAATCTTGAATTTAGTCCCTATGCATCTAATTCCAAGACTTGCTTCAATTAAATTTTCTCCTTTTTACTACCTAAATTATTATTTCCATCTCATTTTATCTAAAATTATTAGAGTGAATTGTATCACGTCTTTCAAGTATGATCATTATTTTGAATTAGTACCAAAACTTTTATACATTTCAATTTCATCCCTAGATTATGATTATCATTCTAAATTAGTTTTCAAATTTTTGAACATTTCAATTTCATCCCCAAAATATGATCTTCATTATAAATTGAGTCACCAAATTTTTTGAACATTTCATTTTTATCCCAAGGTATATGTATATATTAATCATATCCCATGTTAATAAAATCATTAGGTCAAGTTATATTATTATATGTTTGAAAAAATAAAATTTATACTAATATATGGTTGAAATTAATTACATATTTGGATGAATTTGGGGATAAATTAAAAGATTTAAAAGTTTGGGAATCAATTTTGAAATAGAGTAATAGTTTGAGGGTGAAATTGGAATACTCAAAAGTTAAAGGACTAATTTAAAATGGGTGAATTCACGAGATAATGTTCTCGAATTTTTTTTTTCACGATATGGTGCACATCCCAGATTAATTGCTGGAATGGGGTGAATTCTACAGTGATCGCCATAGGACGCCATGCAATCCAGGCGACCTTAGAGGTCGCCATGCAATCCAGGCGACCTTGGAGGTCGCCATGCAATCCGGGCGACCTCCAAGGTGGATTGCATGGTGCCTTGTGCGTATTTTGCAAAAATCATGGGCCGTGGGAATGCATGGGGGAGGGGATGCATGCTGTGCATGGCCATGCAGATGCATGCTGTGCATGGGACGTGGGAACTGTGCATGGCCATGCACGTCGAACGGTGTAGGTCACGGCGGCGTGGTCGGTAGGTCGCCATGGAGTCTCGGCGACCAAGGTCTGGTCCGTAGCTGCTGTAGCTGCATGCATGCGTTGCATCATAGCTGAGATTCCTGCACCCGTAGATGTATGTGTTGCATCTATAGTTGCGTTATTGCAGCGTTAATTTAGCTGTCAGCCTTTCAATGCTCAATAGTTAGACGACAATGCTAATATTATTTGCTTCAACAATCAAATTTAATGACTCTGTCCAACGCTCAGTTGCTTTATATAAAGGATATGGGGTTTAGGGTAGAAGCACAAGCAGAACCGGCACATATAAACTTTGCCGAGAGAAAGAAAAGGAAGAAGAAGAAAAGAAGATAAAGGCTCAAACATAGTTCGTGAGGTAATTTTTTTATTGTTTAATTTAGTTTATTATATGAAATTATTAGTTTGTTAGTTTCGGGTTTAGGGTAAAATTAAAATCTAGTTAATTAGTTTGTTAGTATAAATTATTAGTTTGTTAGTTAAGTTATATTATATTAGTTGTTAGTTTAAGTTATATATTATATTA